CAACTTGGATCATCCATCTCCTCTAGACTAGGTCAATTTGAGTATTGTGTTTGACATCAACAATCATGTTGATTTGGCCCAAATCGACTCCAAACAATCAGGCAAGATTGCTATGATTAATCAATCATTTTCATCTGCAAACATTTTGTGCGTCAACAATTAACATATTGTGTATAATTATTACTTACTTTATATTTTACTATCCATGAATTTTCTTAACCCAACTAATGCATAATCTCCAAAATTCTAACAATAGTCAATTTATATGTGTGATATTTTAATAATTATATTCATTTATTAATTGTAATTATAAAATTTGAGCTCATGGCATGCATACTAGTTAATACCCTTTTTCAATAATGTCATAGGTTCGAACTTATGATTTTATGATCACAAATTCACAGTATACAAGAACTATTTTCGGGTTAGACTAGCAAGATAAAAACACATTAAAAGGTTAAGAAAATGTTTGCCACAATTTTAAACCTTCACCTCGCTGTTACCATACCAACTCAGCTATCTCTTGCACAATCTGAATTATATATTATTTGTATAATACAATAATGTTGTTCAATAATTTATTTATATTGTTTAATAATTTTCTTAAAACTCTCTTATTGTATTATTGAATTTATTATTTATAATCATTCAAAATATAATCTTCATAATATTAATATGTTATTGTTGTAATCCTTCTACATCTAAAAGTTACGGTGTATGGTCACAAGTCCAACCCCTACACCACTATGTCATCCCTTACGAGACTCCAATGTATATGTTTGTACGAAGACAATGATCACGTACATGTTATGCAAATAGCCTTTAAAGATGAATATGCACTATAATTGTTTAGACACTATTTGAAAAATAAAACTTGAGATCGTCTGTTTTATTTCTATTTAATGATAAATGGATATATTTGACTTATACTTCTAAGTAAATCAGTTTGTTCTAAATAAATCAGTATATGTCTGTTTGCATTGGGATAACTTCTGAAATAAGCAAAATCACTTTTCTGTTAAAATTATTATTTATCCTTAATAATAATAATAATAATAATAAATAAATAAATAAATAAATAAATACTATAATATAATATAATATAAAAATAATTTATATATTACATTTTAATAAAAAAATAAAAAAATATAACATTAGTATTATTTTTAATTTATACTATATTATACTTGAATTAAAATTTAAAATTAAGATATCAAATTTACATAAGAGTAAATAGATTTTCTAATTATACTAAAATTATTATATATAATTTATAAAATTTTAAAATAAAATAAAATACAAATAATTTAATACTAGTATTATATTATAATTTTATTTTTAATTGATATATTATCCTTTATAAATAATCAAATTTTCAAAACGTATTTCTATACTATAATTTAAAATATTCAAATATAATTAATAAAAGTTAAAATAAATTATAAAATTTTTATAAGGAAATACTATGATATTAACAAAATGTCCTTTAGAGTTATTTTGAAAGTTTTAATATACTTTCAACCTGTAAAGTCCAAACAGTTTAAAAATTATTTTATAATAATTTATCCAAACACAAAATTGAAGTGCTTTGTGCTTCTAGCTACAGCTTAAAAATCAATTCTACCGAGCCCTTTATTTTTAAAATAAATAGAGGCAATATAATATTTAGAAAATTATATAAAATTTTTTACATAATTTCTTAAATAAGATGCTACCGCATAAGAATTTTATGCTAAATAAAGCACACTATCCAGTGCATTTTAATTAAAAACACAAAAAAAATATCATATTGTTTACTCAAATTTTCTATTCCGCATATTCCATTATATCTTTATAAAAATCATTCTCTTTTTCATGGTTAAGAAGTTACGAAGATATATCTCATCCTTGCAATTTATATTGCATATTTGATAGTATATTAAAACCTACAGAATTTTAGAAAAATATACATATAGAATTCACATCATTTCATAACCATGAAGGTAAAATTACCTTTTTACTACATCACATAAAGCATATGGAAAAAATTACTATAACAGCGCTAAATCTCCATCTCATGCATTTAAAATGGCATGTGAGATCCTTGCCGGCCTAGTTTGCATGCTACTAAGTTCGACCGAGATTTAACCATATAGCACTCAAAAGAATAAGTTTTCACGACCACACCTTACATATATATATATATAATAAAAAATAAAAAATAAAAAAAACAACATGTGAGATCCTATTTATGAACAACACTATCGAAAGGTATCCTCATAGTCATGGAGAAATTTCTAGGAGTACCAAAACAACTCAGCTAGCAATTCATAACCATCCAAGCAACACTGTATAAAACCAGGATTACCATAAGCTAATGCAGGTGCCGAGTGAAATTAAAGAGGGTGCGTAGATTTACAAGGGAAAAATGTCAAGTCCATTAAGGGTGTGTTTACTATGGAGAAAACACACTACCTTAAAGACTAGTTCTGCAATATATTCAAGATAAGCTCAGCAATTACAGAATGTTAATATACTATGGGGAACCAGGGGTAGAGGACCGAAAGAACCGCACTACAAAAATCAACACTGATGAGAAGATGACAAACCGATCAAATATAAAACATTCAACTTTAGTAGATCTGTAGATGCGAACAGAACTCTCATCGAAGTATTTTTCACCCTAAAATGTTACCCTTCTGGCAGCTGAAATAATGGATAAATTAGAACTAATCAACTGAGAAAGCCTTGTCATCATTTAGCTAATCCGATTTATATTTGCTATTAAAAAGGTTCGGAGCTTCTAGATCTCAAATGCTAAAATTTCAGGACAAGAAGTTCAATGAAGTGGAAATGTATAAAGCAAAGAGAGAAATAGAGGAATAAATTTACTTTTATCACGAGTTGAAACATCTCAATTTCATGCAATATTTGAAGAGTGACAGATCACTTACTTAAAGAGTAGTGAAATGCTTAAGATATACAAGTAATGGCAAATTGGTTCATGTTTACTGCAATTCCCAACATCACCTGAAACAATTGGTTTTGTATGCTTGGGTAAGGCACAGTTTGCACTAAGCTCCTTATAGTAGATGGATCTTCATATCAATACTTCACCACATCTCGATACCGATGTAATGAACACATGAAGTTTCTGATTCCTACAACATTTAGACTAGCTAAGTTTTATCTGATTCACCTACTAAAATGTCATATGTAATTAACTCAAAAGTCAAGACAGCAGCCTACAAGGTTTCTCAAGAGTAATGATTCATTGAGAATCCAAAACCGCCAGTTCAGGTTATAAGATGCAAATATTTTGAGATGGTTTGTTCAGGGACAAGAGAGACAACATTGCTTCGTGAAACACTTTCTTGTGTTTTATTTTTTAATCAATAAATAGTACTGGTGGGAGAAACATTTAGGGTGGTTCGCTACCAGTGTTTATGAGCTAAAAAATGAAGTGTCAGCATTCAAAGAAGTTAATTTAGAAACAAAGGAAAACTGCTACTACACAAGGTGAATTGTGGAACAAAATTGAACAAATTCAAGGGTTCAAGGGCACAAACCACCTCCCCACCCTCCCACTGAAGTACACTGACTTGAAACCGTTTAAAGCGCAAGAGACCAAGAGAAGTACGTTAAGAAAACATAAGGATTCCATGTATCATTTAAGTGGGAAAGTATTCTCGATATTTACCATGCAATGTTCGATATCCAAAGGCATCCTACGTTCCTTGAATAAGTCCATAATATCTCTCCAGTAAGATAAAAAGAAATAGCTTTCTTATCATATTTTCTGCTCGCCCTTTGGTCTAGATGTTAGTGAATATTGCAAAGCCATGTATGCATGTAATAATTATATAAAGATATAATTAATTCTAGGGTTTAAGCTATTTAGCATATGAAATAAGAAAGAAAATAGCTCAAAGAACTATTATCCCATCACATAATTGAAACATGCCCTGTACATACATGTGAAAATGTACTAGCGTGTAATGATATTGTTTAATGAACAAATTATTGAATCTTAGAACATTTGCACATATATACAAAGATTAATTTATCTCTAAGGTGTGTAGATTTAGGAATTGTTTTTTATGTGTTTATCTATGGCAAATAGAGAGGAAACCGCAGCTTGTAATACTAATTCCCTTATCTTTTTAGCTAATATAGAAACTAAACCTATGTTTTCTCTATTTTCAGTAACATGGCATAATTACCGTTGGAAACATAATATTTAATCTACAATATTTTTCCACAAGTTTTTTATGTTCACTGTACATTGCTAATTTTGTGAAACATACTCAGATACTATGAAAAAAATTCAGAAAGAACCATAAAATCTAAATGTATAATAGTCTGGTATGTGCATTGTTCTTAGAAATTCTTAACAATGATCACAACTTCCTTTCACCTGTTGTAAAAACCACTTTCCCACATTGGCAGAGGATGACTTACGAGCATACATCTCTAGATTCAAGGAAGATCCAAACACTGGATGATGCTAATCTAACCTTTTGGCTCTACTAAGAAGAAAAAAAGTAAGAAGAATAAAATCCCACATAATATTGAATATTTGAAGTATTGTAAAACACTATTAAAATATTATAGCCAAATACCCCTTTAAGTTCTCAAAATTGTTGGATGAAATATCATGCTTTTAATATTACAAGGGTATTTCATGCAACAATTTCTATAATATAAGAATTGTTACACTTTAAATTAAAACTATGTTACTTATATTTATATGACAACAAGGGATGTCATGCTATTTACTCAAAAAAATAGTTAAATTAATTTAAGTTAAGATTAGTAATTCAAATCCATTAAGAATATAATGCAATTTCTCAATGTTCACTCATTCTCATATTTATTACCAAATAAAAAAAAACAAAAAAAATGAATTTTTAAATTCATTATCCTAAGATTGTACACCAAAATAAATTGATTTCTCAACCTCTTTAAGCATTTGAATCATGTATATTATGAAGAATAGAATAAATTTATTAATGGCTTGTCACGGTGATTGAATTCATGTAATCACAGGTTAAAGGTTTCATGTAAAATTACCTAATGTCTCAATATATACAAGAATTTAACCCATATAGATTTCTCAGTGGGGGTGGGTGGGAATCTACAAATTATGACAGGCTGTAACATACTAACATGTAATTATATTCACATAATCTCATTTTGCAGCAAGTACAGAAAAGAAAGAAATGAAAAATATGAACTTTAAATAGGTCGATGAAAACGAGGTGTACTGCTCAACTGCAACAGCAATTACTACTCAGGCGGTCAGGCTATTTCATATTTCCTTTACCTGTTTCAGGGCTACACTTCACTCCGGCAACCGGAAACCTTATATCAGAAAAGGTTAGTAACACTCTTACATTTTTCTAGAGTTTCTGTACATTTAGATTGAAATCGCTTCAATGGAGTGATTAATATCTTTATATCTCCTCTCATTTCTATGTTGGCTTCAAATAATATTAAGTAGAAATGTTTACATGCCTTAGGAGCTTTACATCTATAATCGACTCATTGTTATTTGTTATTATGATTTCATCAAGATTGTTACCATTTGTTTGAGATGTTGACATCTAGAAGTGATGCTCAAAATCATAGTTAAAACACAAGTTTATTAGAGTAAAAAAGACAGTTTTAAACTGGGCCAAGTATCTTGCAGAGTAATTTGAGGAGATATAGCTATTCATGTTTTTTCCAACCCTGAGAGCATTTTCTGTAATAAGAGAACACAACATTGTTTTGCACTAGAACCATAAAATAAGACAAAAGATAGCCTCAATCTACACTAGGAAATCACTTTGCAGAAAATTGAAATCACACGGGTGATCATGAATCTCACATAGCAATTGTAATGGGCTAAAGCTACACAGTAAATTACACCGTGATCAAACTTTGGAAGTCAGAAATGGCTTCAAATGGATATTTGGGCAACAAATGCTGAGAGCCAAGAAAAAAAGTCATTTCAATTTTCATGTGTTTGCTGCATTTGATGTTATTTTAATACCTAACTGCACTGACATCTAAATTCTTATAGACATTATCTTGTTACTTTTTAAAGGATGGGCAACCTAGATTCATATAGAGGAGGCGAGTTCTTTTTCCTACAGTTTCTGGCAGAGGAGATTGAAAGAGGATACACACCTGGTTCAACTTTCAGACAAGAAAGCCAGCTGTATGTGAACCGGAGATTACGGACAGTAGTCGGCCCACTATACGGCCCAATGTTTTCAGATCGTTATCTAAAGTCCAAAATAAAAACCCTTAAGAAAAGATACCATGAGTTCTCAAAACTGTTGAGCCAAAAGGGGATTCACTGGGATGTGGAAGACAATATAGTTTATGGCAATGAGAAACACCTGCGTGCACATTACAAGGTAAAAATGTTTGATCCTTTTTTCATGCCATTTCACTAGTAATCTAATTTTCAGTCTATGCCAAGCAATGGGACAAAATTATAGACTTAATGTGTATGGAATATCAGAAACTTATGAACTTAAATGTATATGTTTCAGGGTAATTACCGGAAAGGCGGTTGCCCAGGAGAAGTGCATTATGATCTCATGCGCCAAGTTTTCGAAAGTGGGGTCAAGTTCAAGTAAGGAAAAGCTCACATACCTGTATGTGGTGCTCCTAATCACTAGTGTGGTCACTTCAATAATTTTCATGTTATGATCTCGATATCTAATTCCCATTTAAAGAATGTACTGCTTGTATGATGCTCAAACATCATACAAACTGCAAAAGTCGTTGATGTATCCAAAGACAATGGTCAAAACTAGTACGCACTCCTACCAGTTTGTGCTTCATTAATTCTCAGTCCATGGAATTTGATCCTTTCAAATTAGCTATCTAAAGCATCCAATGAAAATAGATGGAAATGGAAATGGAATCGTCATTTTAATTAACAAACTGTTGAACATAAGAACAAAAACGAAAGAAGCATTAAGAAACGGCCCCGGGCAATTGATTGACGGTATTGGAGAGAGCTCAGCCATCCAAAATTTGAGAATCGAGATTTACATATCAAGATGTAATCACTAATTTCGCTAATTTGTCAGTCTCCAAATCAGAATTGCAACTATTGTTCGCATAAATAGAAATGAAAATTTATTGGAAAGGCAAACAGAGCCGGGAATTTAATGATAGAATATCACCATTTTGCGGCGGAAGGCATCGTTCTCCGGTGGACAATCCCCAATGCGGCCGCGCAGCGGGATGCTATTCGGTGGCGTAAAATCAAATGAGTTTCGAAAGTTATAACTGCATCGAGCGCTGATTGAGTGACACGCCGCCATTTCCCGGTCATCCTCCCACCGCCAGCACATTCCAGCCCCGCCACTACCCAAATTTTGAACTGAACCTCGCAAAGGTATTCATCGAATCATCCATCGCCCTCCTCTGAGAAATCCGAAGCCCAGATTCTGGAAAAAAACAATAATAATAATAATAAAACCGATTAGTGTGGCTCAAGTGGCAAAGCATCCTTTGTATGCGAGAGGTACGGTATGGGGTTTGTATTTCCATCATTTTGTAGGTATGGCAACGGGCGGCGGTTCGGGAAGGCTTTTGCAATCAATATGTAAAATAATTTTATTTTGTAAAATATTTTTATATATTAATTTTTTTTTTGTTGGAATATATGGGTATTGCGATAATAAATATGAAACCGAGTCAATGAGAGTGTAGTTATATTTGTTGGAGCTCCGGCGAATAAAACGAGAAAAAAACTAAGCTGGAGAGGTTTCCGAAAAGTTGGAAGAGATAAAAGAAGGACTAGAGGATTGTTTGTGTTGGTTGTTAGAACGAATGGGGAGGCCCTTTGTGTAGGCGTCTCCACTCGGTCAAAATGTTAGGACATCAAATTACGATCATAATTACGATCTTAATTATCAATGTAATTAATTATAAATTCAAACCTTCGGTTTGAAGCAGTCGTAATTGATTCTAATTACAAACCTTCCGTTTGTGACGATCGTAATTTATTCTAATTTCAAACCTTCTATTTGAAATAATTGCAATTTATTCTAATTTCAAACATTCCGTTTGAGATTATAATAAATCTATCCAACGGATAATATTTTATCCAAATAATATTGCGACTTAGGCCATATACCCGGGTTTAATTTGGGGTTGCACAATTTGGTTTGTCTCGAAACAGGCAAAATAGCCAAAATATTAACAAAATTCCATACACAATAAATAATATTTATTTATTTCTAATATAATTAATTTGGTACACCGGCCCGCATTTTCACTCACAAAATAATCGATTGCAAAATAACCGATTATCCAACAATCCCCCACATGAGTGAAAATGCCCATAAATGACAGAAGCCTAGTTCAATCCCTGTTAGACATTGACACATCAGGACATGTAGTTTTTTACTTTGAACCTTTCATAGTCAACATTACAGAGTATACTGGTGACCCAGTTGACGTGATGCATTGAACTGTTCCACCTCTGCGTGCACTTAGTCAATAATATTGATGTGTCGCTATCTCAGTCTCAACTTTGTTCTCACGTCTTTAGATTCATAAGTGTTTCATTTGAAGCGGCCCACACTTCACACTTATATAGGTAATCCTATATCAAAGTATCTAACTCACACCTTTAGGATCATTAAGAGTCATTGACTCAACCTCACCACTTTTGCACATTATAACACTCATTGCTTTTTCAGGAAATTGTATTGAGTGTTAGAGCCGGACTCTTACAATTTAGTTTTCCCATTGAACCAAGGTTTGGGATTTCCAAGTGATTTGGTTGGGTTACCACTGTAATTGTCTCTATCTTGTGGATTTCAAACTCATTCCCTTTAGCAGTTTGTACATTTGATCTCTCTGCAACCCTTTGGTTAGCGGATCCGCTAGGTTTTCTATTGATTTTACATATTCAATAGTCAAAACCCCACTGGTGATCAAATGTCTTACAGTGTTATGTCTACGTCGGATATGTCGGGATTTACCGTTATAAATTCCATTATTAGCCCTTGCTATTGTAGGTTGGCTATCGCAGTGAATCATTACGGAAAGTACTGGTTTAGTCCAGTATGAAATATCATACATGAAATTCTTCAGCCATTTGGCTTCTTCGTCAGCTTTGTCCAAGACGATGAACTCCGATTCCATTGTGGATTGTGCAATGCATGTCTATTTTGTGGATTTCCACGAGATAGCTCCTTCTCCGATCGTAAATACATATCCACTTGTAGACAGTGAGTCTTTTGCATCGGATATCCAATTGGCATCGCAGTACCCTTCGAGTACCGGTGGATATTTCGCGTAGTGTATACCAAAATTCAGAGTAAATTTAAGATAACTTAATACTCTTACTAGCGCTTTCCAGTGTTCATGACTAGGGTTGCTAGTGTATTGACTCAGCTTGTTTACAAAGCAACTCAGGTCAGGCCTTGTACAATTTCTTAAGTACATTAGGCTTCCAATGATTTTGGCATAGTCTTCTTGAGCTACGGGGTCTCCCCTATTATTGCTCAAGTGTACGGTGAGGTCCATTGGGGTTTTCACTGGAGTGTTTTCGTAGACATTGAATTTTCTCAGTATCTTTTCCACATAGTGAGACTGAGTCAGAACAATACCTTCGTCTTGTCTTAGAATCTTCATTCCAAGGATGACGTCGGCAAACCCCAAGTCTTTCATGGCGAAGTTACGACTCAACATGCATTTAACCTCATTGATCAGACTGACCTTTTTAGCCATGATTAGTAGGTCGTCTACATATAGACATATTATGATAAAATCGGAAGGTGTTTCTTTGATGTAAACACATTTGTCACACTCGTTTATTTTGAACCATTTGATAACACAACGTTATCAAATCTCAAATGCCATTGTTAAGGTGCTTGTTTCAGCCCGTACAAAGACTTTATCAGTCTGCACACCTTTTTCTCTTGGCCAGAAACAACATATCCTTCCGGTTGTTCCATATATACTTCTTCTTTTAATTCACCATTTAAAAAAGCAGTCTTCACATCCATTTGGTGAATCTCAAGATTGTTCAAAGACGCAATCGAAAGAAGTATTCGAATGGATGTTATCCTGGTTACCGGTGAATATGTGTCGAAGAAGTCAAACGCTTCAGTTTGTCTGTAGCCTTTTACTACGAGACGGGCTTTGTATTTGTTAATAGACCCATCAGCCTTGAGTTTTTTTTTTCAAAACCCATTTACACCCTAGTGGTTTGCAACCTTCGGGTAGGTCAGATAACACCCAAGTGTTATTATGCATTATAGAGTCTATTTCACTATCTATTGCTTCCTTCCAAAAAGGAGCATCAGGACTGGATAGTGCTTCATTGATCGTTGTTGGATCATTTTCTAACATATACGTAACAAAATCCGAACCAAAGGGTTTCTCGACCCTTGTCCTTTTGCTACGTTTAGGCTCTGAAGCCTCTTGATCAGGGCTATTGGTCATTTGTCTTTTTACGCCACGTAGTTCTTCATCTACGGATTTTGGATTTGACTGCATCCGTTCCTTACAAGGGTAGATATGTTCAAAGAATGTAGCATTCCTTGATTCTATCATAATTCCCTCGGTCATCCCAGGGATTTACGATTTGTGAACTATGAAACGATAAGCACTACTGTTTAGTATGCAATCTACCATTTTTGGGTCAATAGCGACTTGCTTGGGAGGCGGAACTTCCACTTTTGCTAGGCACCCCCACACTTTGAAGTATTTGTATGTGCGTTTCTTGCCTTTCCATAGTTCGTAAGAGGTGACATCCTTACCCTTAAGTGAAATCTTGTTCAGGATATAATTTACAGTCAGTACTGCCTCCCCCCACAGGTTTTGGGGAAGTCCTGAACTTATCAACAAGGCATTTATCATTTCCTTAGGTGTTCGATTTTTGCGTTCGGCAACGCCGTTTGATTGAGGTGAATATGGAGCCGTTGTCTGATGAATTATGCCACTTTCGTTACATAATTCTTCGAACGGGGCCACATATTCGTCTCCTCTATCACTTCGAACTGTCTTGATTTTACAGTCAAGTTGATTTTCTGCCTCGGTTTTGAAGTTCTTGAAGGCCTCGATTGCTTCGCTCTTTTCCCTTAATAGGTAAAGATAACAATACTTTGTGCAATCATCGATAAAGGTGATGAAATATTTTTTTCCACCTCTAGTTTACACAAATTTAAAATCACATACATCTGTGTGAATTAACTCTAATGGCGTAGTCTTCCTTTCGACAGACGGGAAAGGTAATTTTGCCATTTTCGCCTCCGCGCAAAATTCACATTTGTTTTGAGTGTTTACCTCTTTTATATTTAGTAAATTCATATTTATTAATCTTTTTATAGGATTTAGGTTTACATGACCTAGTCTGCAATGCCATAAATTAGAACACTCAATCAAGTACAAAGAAGAAGCAACATTTTTATTGTCAGTAGGTGGTGCTCGGCGCACGGCCATTACATTCAATTTGAACAACCCATTTGTAAGATAACCCCTAGTAGGAACATCTCGTTTTTTGTATAATATAAATTTATCTGCTACAAAGACAAGTTTAAAACCATGCCTAATTAGTAGCAATCCTGAGACGAGATTTTTCCGAATGTCTGGACATGCAGGACATCTTTCAAGGTTAGTTCTTTGCCAGAGGTCATCTTCAGCACCACGTTCCTTACGCCTTGGACCTCAGAAATTGCATGATTTCCCATGTGTAGCTTCCTCCCTTCGATCTCCTTGTAGGTCGAGAAGTTTGTTTTGTCGGAGAAAACATGGCAGGTTGCTCCGGTGTCAATATACCAAGCTCTCAGACTATCCACATTATTTGTTTCGTACACAACAGCGACAAGGTCGTCACTATTGAGATCGCGATCAGTCCGG